CCATTTTGTATTACATAAAGTATAATATTAAAAAAATTATGTAAATATAATATTAAAATTATTATATAAAATATAATGAAAATATTTTTTAAAGTTCCTTAGGAATTTTGAGCATCTGAACAAGTCCCCCCCATACCTAGGTATGGGATCACTCTATTTGGGATTATTTACATGGCAGAGTATGCTTGTGGGTTTATGTGCCCATACGTATTTAAGCACACCCATGGACACACCTGTTCCTGCAGGTAAGCCTGTAACCTGTCAGGGCAGCAGGCAGCACACAAATAAACAAAATAGGATCTGCCAACTCTGTCTTGTGCCCTGGTTGGGTGAGATGACAGAGATCCTGTCACGGAAAGTGAGCTGGGGAGGGTTCCCTGGGCTTCCCATGCCCCCCCCCCCCCTTTGCACTGCCTGCAGCCTGGGCTCCTGCTTTGCTTGATGACATTGTGGCTGCCGTGATGGTGTCAGTCACTCCTGTCTGCTCTTATTTCCCTCGGGGTCTGTTGTAGGAGACTGTTGCTTTGCCTTTCTCTGATTTGACCCCGCCCTTGCTGCCTTTGGCTGACCCGCAGTGCGGGGTGAGGGAGTGGGGGGGTGGGGAGTGGGGGGATGGGGGATGGGGGTGGTCCTGGTAGCCAGTACACACTTCATGGGAGATTATGGGAGAGAGGCTGGTCCCATGCACATAAAGGAGGCAGATGTGCGGCCCTCTGTGTCAGACCATGTTGAGAATCCCTTGGCCCAGCTGGACACACACCAGATTTGTCAGGTTGCTAGGCAACTAGAAGCAACAAACACTTGTGAGGCTGGGATCGAAGGGGTGAAAAGCAGACTTTTTCTAAATGTCTTCATCACTTAACAGAATACGAACCCTACCCAGGCGCTGTGGTGTCCTGGGCTAACTTGCATCACCCTCCGTCATGGCCAAACGCTCAGGAGTCAGAATGCCTGGGTGCCCTCTGTCTTCCCCACGTGCTTGCTTGTAACCATGCATAATTTACACTTCTGGAGCCTTGGTGTGTTCATCCTTCAAATGGGCATAATGAGGTTCCAGTCTCCCGGAGGATTAAATGAGATGATGGGCATCAGGTTTTTCAAGCAGACCCTGGCAGATAATCTGTGTTTAGCAAGTGCTAGCTGTTATTATTGCTTATGCTGTGAGCTTTATCAGCAGTCTTGGAAAGAAATTTTCCTTTGGAGACCTCAGAGGCCTTCAAACATACATGTCCCACCCTCCCTACATCCCAGGGTCTGCTCAGGAAGATAAGTAAAAAGAACCTATCAGCCGGGTGTGGTGGTGCATTCCCGTAATCCCAGCAGCTCAGGAGGCTGAGGCAGGAGGATCTCAAGTTCAAAGCCAGCCTCAGCAACAGTGAGGTGCTAAGCAATTCAGTGAGACCCCGTCTCTAAATAAAATACAAAATGGGGCTGGGGGTGAGGCTCAGTGGTGGAGTGCCCCTGAATTCAATCCCCAGTACTCCCCACCACCCGACCACCCCCTAAAAAACATGGAATCTATCGTTTTGGCTGCCAGGACGCACCCCCTCCACCCACCTTCTTTCTCATTCTCCAGCCGCAGGCAGCCTCATTGATGTGGGAGGACTTCCCTACCAGCTGCTGTCGTGGGAGCAGGCATCCCTGGGGCTGCATTGGGCTCCCAGCCATAATGGGCTGCACACCCCTGACCTGTGTGGTCTGTCTGACCCTCCGGTCCTCCTGCCCTGGTCCACTCTCAGCCATCAGCCCCTGCAAAGGTTTTGGGAGCCAGATCGAATCCACCTCTTCCTTTGGTGTCCAGGAAGCAAGACCCAACCTGGTTGTTTCCAAAGGCCACACTTCCTCCTTTTGGCCAGTTTATTACATTGGCTCCATGCCCATCGCCACATGAACTTGCTCTTGAAACCTGCCCAGGTGACCTGCCCTCACCGCAGAGCAGCAGCTACTGATATAGCCCCTTCCCCATGTCTCCTTTCCTTATCTGCAGAGTCGGGGTGAGCAGGTGGCAGCAGTCACCATCTAGCTGGAGAAGGTGCCCACTGTCTTCCATTTAAACATGCAAAATTCTTTTGTGTGTGTGTTTTTTTTAAAACAACTTTATTGAGATATAATTCACATGCCATAAAATTCACTCATGTAAAGTATACAGTTCAGTGGCTTTGACTCTATCCAGAATTGCACATCCATTACCAAAATCAGTTTTAGAACATCTTCATCACCCCAAACAGGAACCCCCCTTTAAGCCACAATCCTCCATTGCTTCATTCCCCTGGGTCCTAGGTAACCATGATCTACTTTGTGACTGTGTGGATTTTGCTATTCTGGGCATTTAATTTAAACAGAATTTTAATATGGGCCTTTATAATTACTTAGTATAATGAATTCTCATTCCTGTAGCATGCATTGATATTTTTTTTTTGGTTGGATAATATTCCATTGTCAGATATACCACATTTATTTATCCATTAGTCAGTCAAAAGTCACATGGGATGTTCGTCAGGTCCTTTTTACTTGGATTTCTAACTTTTTGGGGTCCATACTGGGGATTGAACCTAGGGTTGCTTTACCACTGAGCTACATCCCCAGCCCTTTTATTTTTTTATTTTGAGATAGGGTCTCACTAAGTTGTCAAGATTCTTGCTGAGTTGCTGAGGCTGGTCTCAAACTTGCAATCCTTCTGACCCAGCCTCTGTCACTGGGATGACAGGTGTGCACCACCACGCTCAGCTGCTGCCTACCATTTTTTTGACAAGGAGAGACTTTTTTAAATCAATCTTATCGCAGCCCTTAATTATCTCTTGGTTTGCTCATGAATATAATCCTTCCTCAGACCTTATGTTCTGAGCCCGTAAGAAAACGAAAGTGGGTTTTTTTTTTTTTGAACATTATATTTGCCAAAAGAAAAAACTCAGAACGTATGGTTTCTCTTTTGCTTTCTTCTGTATAATTATTTAGGCTCAAAAACCTCAATTTAGATGAGGGTTCAAACTGGCTGAGGAAAAAAAAATAGAGTGTTTCCCTAGAGAGGAAAATATTACGAGTAAACCAAAAAAATACCCCAGAATTCTTTCAGAGGAAGCACTCCAGGCCCGCACGCTTACTTTATAATAGGAACCAATACTGGGTCAGGTGGGGTCTGTGACGCCCTTAATCTCTTCCCGCTGGGAACTGGTGTCCCCTGGCACATTCTCTCCCAAGCTGCTGCTGTCCCCTGCAGAGCTGCCAGCCAGGCCCAGGTGGAACTTTTCAGTTCCCCAGTTCTCTGAAGGTGTGCCAGTGTGAGTGTGGGAATGAGGTCACCTGGAGTGGTGGGATGGCGTGGTGTAGGTAGCAGGGCAGGGCCCAGGAGGCTGGGACCCTGCAGCTTGGAATCCAGTCTAATATGTCCCTTGGCAAGGACAAACCCCCTGAGTGCTGGTGTTGAGCAAGGCCTCCCCAGACTCAAGTGAGTGGGATTTCCTGTCCTTCTCTTAGTTACCTTCCTTGAAAATCTCATTGGCATGATAAATGCACCTTTTCCTGTTTCACTTAAGGGAGCAAAAGGCAGATCGGATGCCATATGTAGCAAGAGAACAGGCAAAACCCCAACATGCCTATATCTAGAACCCAACCATGCTTGCAAAAGAAACAAACTTCATTCAATCTCATCTCTCCTAGGGGGTTCTTTGATGTTCTCCCTCCACATTTGTATGGAAATGTGAAAAGGCTCAGGCTTTAGAACCAGTAGATCTTGGTGGTTTGGGGCAGATGACTCCCTATCTCCAAGCTTGTGATGACTTGGAGGTGGAAGCATGATACCTCTTGCTTTCCAAGAAGGTGGGCCTGGGGACCCTGAGGGGTGGCCTGCGCACAGGATGACCAGAGCAGCAAGGCACTCAGTAGGAGCTGTTTTTACAGCTCTTTTTCTCCAGATGATTTTATTTTTCCTGAAACTAGTACTCAAGTTGCAGGAGGAACAGTTTCCAAAGAAACATTCAGAGTCCTTTCCCCATAGAATAATGCTAGCTCTTGGTGCTAGAGGGGCGCCATCTTTGTCTCCCCTGAGCATTGGGATCCCAGTAGTCAAACACAGAGTGGGGTACACAGCAAGCCTTTGGTAGATAAATGTGAAATCTGGAAGGTTCTGCAGGGAATTTATCTATCGATTTTGTAAGTCTCCAACACAGTACAGCCTTTACTAGCTCTCAACTTTTGCAGCAATTATTGTTTTTTTGTTTACATTTTAATGTTTGAGGGTTCATACACTGAAGAGCCTGAAGCAGATACAAGGAACTTAGAACACTATATGAATGTCACAGATGTCTAAGTAGGTGATTGGTTTTTCCTCCAGTGGCAACAATGGCACTGTGACTTGAGAAAGCATGGCAGCATTTGGTAGTGTCTTTCCTTACTGCTTTGCAGTTTGCAGGGTGCTTCCCCATTACTGTCTCACCCCCTTCTCTTGACTTCTGGTAAGACAGTACCACATCGTGGTTCTGCAAAGGCTGCCTTACCACCATCTGCTGGGTGGCTGTGCAGTTATTTAAGTGGGTTAAGCTTATCTCCTGTTTTTTCATTCATTTATTTTTCTCAGTGCTGGGATGGCACCCAGGGCCTCACATATGCTAGTCAAGCATTCTACCACTGAGGCACATCCCCGGCCCTCCTAACTTTTAAAATGGGAATACTAATGTCTTCCTCCTAGGATTGCTTTTCATACTGCATGAGATCAGGTATGAACAATCCCAGCCACATAGTAATTACCTACTAAATAGCAACAGTTACTGTATCATTGGGAATAATCATCCTCACTTTCCAGACCAGGAGACAACAAATGGCAGTTTGCTGAGGTTGGCAGTCCTTTGGCCTCTGACTTCTCCTTCCTCCCCCTCCTCTTTAGCCAGCATGTGCTCATCAGGGATATTTGGGGCATCTTCTGGCAACATTGGCCATGACAGTGTGCCCCTTATGTGGTGTCTCGGGTGCACTCACGTTTTCAATGTCTACTCTTGTATTTGCAGAATATCATCAAGAAGGTGATTGGGCAGAAGTTTGTGTACAAGTTCGTCTCTTTCCCAGAGATCCTCAAAATGGATCCTCACGCGGTGGAGATCAGCAGGGAGAGCCTTTTGTTGCAGGACAGTGACTGCAAGGTGCCTCCCGAGGGCCGCGAGGCCCACAAACACGGCTTGTCCGCCCTCAAAAGCACGAGCCGCAATGAATACATCCACTCAGGCCTGTACTCGTCCTTTACCATTAATTCCCTGCAGAATCCTCCCGAGGCCTTCAAGGCCATCAAGACAGAGAAGCTGGAGGAGCCACCTGAGGACAGTCCCCCTGTGGAAGAAGTCAGGACTGTGATCAGGTTTGTGACCAATAAAACCGAGAAGCACATCACCAGGCCGGTGGTGTCCCTGCCTTCCACACCTGAGGCTGCTGCGGCGTCCGCCTTCCTGGCCTCCTCCGTCTCAGCCAAGATCTCCTCTTTAATGTTGCCAAATGCCGCCAGCATCTCCTCGGCCTCACCCTCCTCTTCTCGGTCCCCATCCCTGTCCCCCAACTCACCGCTCCCTTCTGAACACAGAAGCCTCTTCCTGGAGGCTGCCTGCCATGACTCGGATTCCCTGGAGCCCTTGAACCTGTCGTCAGGCTCCAAGACCAAGTCTCCATCTCTTCCCCCAAAGGGCAAAAAGCCCAAAGGCTTGGAAATCTCTGCGCCCCCGCTGGTGCTCTCCGGCACCGACCTTGGCTCCATTGCTCTCAACAGCCCAGCCCTGCCCTCGGGATCCCTCACCCCAGCCTTCTTCACTGCACAGGTAAGAGCGCTTCCTGTGGTCCTGACCACACCCAGACTCACTGCTTGGCAAATGGAAGAAGAGCAGGCAAAGCCACTTCCTTCCACCCTTCAGAAGATTCTCCCAGAAATGGTGTAAATGGGAAGGGAAGGTACTTTTCCATCCTCAGACTGAGGTTCACCTACGAGAGAAGGTTTGGTATGTTGACAACAGAGGGATGCTTGATTGGGTTCTTGCTTTTAGTGGTCTTAAAGTGGCCAGTAGGTGGAACAAGCACACTGGCCGTCAAGGTAGATGTAAGGAATGATTTCCCATGGAAAATTGAGGGGACACATTTACACTTCAGGAGCATTTGGGCCTGGGGACACTTAGTAGCCATTTTTCCCTGTTAACAAGAAAGTTCATGTTCATGGATACCATCATCGCATTTGTGAGTGTGAAGCTCTGTGCTCACGTTGGTTTCTAATAAGAAACTCAAGGTCCATCCTGAGCAGGAGGTTGATTCTTGGAAGTGTTGGAAAGAGGAGTGCACAGCGGGGTGCAGACATCCTTCCTGGTTGCAGTTAACCTGGGAGAAGGTAGCCTTTTCCTTCAAAGAAAACATCCAGCAGCTGTCCGGTCCAGCTGCTAGCTGCTGACAAACTGTTTCTGCTTCCCCTTGAACATGGACACAGTTTAGTGGATGAGGTTAAGAGTACCAGTTTGGGGGTCACCAATCCTGGATCCCCATGGATTCAATTCCTGGCATCCCAGCTTCCTAGGAGTGGGACCTTACATGATTTTTCTCTTAAGTGAAATGGATACTGTGAGGATGAGCTGATGGTGGCGGTGCTTGGTGAGCTAGCTCCCGCTACCTAGGGGATGTACTATCCTAGAGCTCTGTGGCTCCCGATGGGAATGGGGATGTGTGGGAGGTGAGCAGGAACTCCTGCTGTGCCCTGTTGTCAACAGGGTTGTCCTTGGTAGCAGCAGCTGCGGGTGTGGAGCTCTTCCCTGCATGCGTCCCTAGCAGCCATGGTGTAGACCCCACTGCCTAGCTGAGGTGAGTGGACAGTGGTGACTCCTCTTGTCCAGCATCCCCCAGCTAGTAGGTAGGAGAGAATGTGTGCCCTGAGGTAAAATGTTCTCTCCTGTCCCACCTGGAGAAAGCCAAATGTTGTCCCTTGTTGTAGCAATCTATGGGAGTCTGCAGGGCAGCTTGAAAGCCCCGCCTGGCTTCCCACAGCTTTCCTCCTAACTCAAGCTTATAAGAGCTGGAAATACTTGTACTGCCATGACATGAGGGTCCCTGCCTCACTGGTAGACTGGAAGGAGTGCTCCCAAACCCGGCCTTCTCTAACCAAGTGAGACTGCCTGGTGGGAAAGCCTGCTGCCTAAAGGCTCAGAGCAGTGGCTCCCATGGTAGCTCAGGGAAGGGGCTTGGGAAGGAGCCCAGGTGGACCCTCCATCCGACTCTTTCCCTTGCCTTTAAGTTTGCAGCTATGAGGTTGGGAGGGGTCTAAGGCCTGGGCGAGGCCACCGATTTCAGTGTCTTGTTCTCTTAGCCTGAGCCATCATGCCAGCCCTGTCTGAGGAAGTCAGCTGAGCCCACCCTGGGGTTTTGGACTTGCATGCTGTGAACTTGGAGGTGGCTCCCCTCAGTGGGGATGAGGGTGGTATCGCTGGACTAGGGAGAGGAGGGAGAGAGGGATCTCAAGGGTGCATGCACATTAATGGAAACAATGCAGTTTCAAGGGTCAGTACTCACTGGCATGGCCCAAAGCATGGAGGAGAGAGTGTGAAAGACAGGCTGCCGTGGAGGACCCATGCAGTGGCAGCTGGGAGCAAACACTCCTCAGGCACGAACTGTGAGGGGCCGCAAACCTTGAGTTAGTGCCAGGAAGTTCAGAAATGGGATTAGGGCTTCCTGAAGGATGGAAGCAAAGGGTGGGAGAGTGGAAGCTGGGCCCAGGCTGAGGGCAGGCCTCCAGATCCCAGGGAAGGTGAGGTAGTGTTGGAAACCAGGTAGAACTAAAGGAGTCACCTGCTGCTTGCGGGGAAGGAGGGTAGTAGTGGAGCCTCTGGACCCAAATCCCTCTTTGAAATTCACTGAGGCACTGCACCTGGCATGGCTGTGGGTGGCCAAGGGAGAGAGGCAGAGACGGGGCAGGACCCAGTCATGTGGCATCCAAAGCTGAAATCTGAGCCTGCTCCCCCTGTGATTACCTGAGATCCAACAGGATATTCACGAGGTTTTACTTTGACTTGATGAGCTTGGGCCCTTTAGAATTAGGGGAGGCTTGAAGTCAATGTAAGTCCTGGGTCCTAAGAGAAGCCCTCCCCGACACACTGCTCACTGGGGTACCCCAGAAACTCACCCTGCTGCCTTTAGCTCACCCTTCAGAACCAGTAGGGCAGAGCTTGGCATCCTGCATCTCACTGGGCCTCAGCCTGAGGTCTGTTCTCCCATGGCTTCCTTGCAACCTTAGCACTTTCTATCCATCACAGACACTGGCTCCTTTCCTCTGGGGTATGCTGGGTGTAGTCTGTGAGCACGTGGCATTTGGTAACCTGTGGGAACCTCCTATAAACTTTTCCCAAGAGTTAGTTTTAGAAGAAAGGTGTATTGTCATAACCTGGTACCCTACAAATGTAATAACTTGATACCCTACAAGGTTGGTCATTTCTAGCTACGAACATGGCAGGAAGAAGGGTGGAGGACCCTGGGCTTGACTGTGGCATGTGGTAACAGTTCTCTCCAGGAAACTTATGGAACCACATGCTCCATGGAGGCCCAAATACAGATGTGAAACTGGGATCCACAACACAGTGTGCGTAAAAAAAAAATCAGCCTCATTCTGTTGCTCCCCCAACCACTGCTTGCATCAGAAATATCTGGCGCATCTGCTGGGAGCTGTACAGAGTGCAGTCGAGATGACTCTTGGATTTGAGTTTGTAAAGAAGATTCTTAATGTAGATAGGACTGTCAGCCAAAGCCCCTCAAACATGGGACTAACCAGAGACTGGAAAACTTAAAAGCCAACTAGGTACCAAGGAGTGATGACCTTAGAGCTCAGCTGCCAAGGTCACAGTTGAGAATTGCTGAAAAGCAAGGCTGATGTGTCTGTTGGCACAGGCTACTGAAACTGAGATGGGGGACGAGCCAGGACGTGAAGCCTTCCTGGTCCCTGGCCAGGCACCATGGTAGCCGGAGAGGTGCCAGCTGGAACTTGTGATTCTGTCTTTTGTATCATCTCTCCCTCTTCCTACTGTCTGCTTTCTGTGCAGTTTCTCCCACATCATATCTTAACAAGGCGAAGTTAACTTAGAACCTGAGGCTGGCACATTTCATTTCCCCTCATGTATGCCAAGACCTGTGTTAACATCACTTGTGCTGTGTAAGATGCTGAACTCAGATATGTGCGGGCACTGGGCATGCATTCACCATTAAGGTCTGAATATGCATGCCCCAGGATGTTTTATAAGCAGTGGCCCAGGATTAGCAATGATGGAGTGGAGACAGCCTAGTGAGGTCCAAAATGCTAAAACTCCCTTCCTTGGTTACTGGCTGGTGAAACAGCTGTGAGCCAAAGTCAGAAAGTGAGAATTTGGAGCAGCATAGATGTGGGTGGTGAGCAGCAGTCAGAGAAAAGGGCAGCCTGTCCCTGGGTAGGGACCTCCCTTCCCTAGCCTATGGATCTAGGTGTGGCTTCTCATTTTACTATCTATTTTGCCATTGCTATTAAAAGGAAAAAGTTTGTTTTCCCCCTCCCCAGGGGAGCCTGAGCTCTCTCCATTGGTCATTCCTATGGGCCGAGGATGTTCTTGCAGGAAGAAGCTCTGTGCAGTGGGGGGTGTCACTCCAGGAGGTGGTTCTTGGTTTTCTCCGGTTCCGAGTTGCTCAGATAGATCATGGCAACCTTTTTTTTTTTTTTCTTAATATTTATTTTTTAGTTGTAGTTGGACACAATACCTTTATTTTATTTATTTTTATGTGGTGATGAGGATAAAACCCAGGGCCTCACATGTGCTAGGCCAGCACTCTACCACTGAGCCACAACCCCAGCCCCTCATGGTAACCTTTTATTGAGTTGGTTTTTTTCTTTTTTAATCCCAAGGTGGCAGTCATGGACTCTCTTGGCATCTAAATTTAATAAGATTGGAGATGTTTGTACAATCTGCTCAACAGACATCTTGATTCTTTTTTTTTTTTTTTTTTTTAACCTTGGGCTCTGCCTCTTCTCCCCTCTCCTTGCCTTTTCTGTTCATCCTTCATAGTTCTACTGCCTTGTCCCCAGTTTTTCTCCTAACACTTTCTATGTCTACTCTACACCCATGTGAGATTCTCCATTTTATCCCCTTTTCTTTAAGATTAGTGCTACACAAACTTTTGTGGGAAGTTTGGATAAAGTTCTTAAAACCATGTCTTAATTTGAATCAAGACTACTGTAGGGGTTTCTAGAGATTCATAGTCACCTTTGAGATTTTGTTTTTTAATCCCAAGGTGGCAGTCATGGATTCATCTCGGCATCTGTGTTAAGTATAAGATTAGAGATGTTTGTACAGCTGCTCAGTAGACTTTTTTTTTTTCCTTCAGTTTTCCTAAAGCCTGTATGACTTACTAGTTTCCTGCAAATACTTGTTTAGCAGCTCATCCATATCTTCTTTAGTTGACCAAGTTAACAGATGCCTACCATTTTTTTAATTTTTTTTTTTTTAGTTGCAGATGAACACAATACCTTTATTTTGTTTATTTTCTTATGTGGTGCTGAGGATCAAACCCAGTGTGTCACACATGTTAGGTGACCGCTCTACCACTGAGCCACAACCCCAGCCCCCCAGATGCCTACCATTTTTAATTAATTAATTTTGGAGATAATCACTGAACCTCTAGGCCCTTTAACTACCTAAAGATTCAGAAGATAGACAGACACAGGCCTATTCTCAGGAGCTTATTGTCCAACAGGTAAAGAATATGGGGCAGTATATAATTTAGGGTGGTGTAAATTTATGGAGGACTCTTAAAACTGAGGAATTCAGACCTGACAGGAAATGAGTTTAAAGGGAAACAAAAATTCCTTATGAGAACTGATTAATAAATAATTATTGAGTGTTCATTTTTTGCAAGACATAGAAAAGACACCAGAAGTACAAGTGTTTTTTATGACCTTAGAACCTATCCATAACAACGAGACACACATAAGATAACATGTGACAAGAATCAGACACACCCATGCAGGGAAGCACCTCAGCTGAATTCAATAAGTATGAACTGAGCACCTATCATGTATAAGCTGCTGTGCTTATAGCTGGGTATAAAAACATGGATAAATAGTCCCTGGTAGGTGCCCATAACTTAGCTCAAGTAACTTAATATAGCATCTCATATGCAATACAGAAAGATACTGAGGCATTCAAGGAACACTAAGAAGGTGGCATTAACTTTGCTGGAGGAAGGGAGGAAGGACTTCATGGAGGGGGTGCAATTGCACGTGGGCTGGGTGTTGAAGAATCAAGAGGAATTTTTCTGGCAGTTGGGGTGAGGAGAGCATTATGGGCAAGGAACAGCTAGAGGCAAGACACACTGGGGAGGTGCAGTGGCTCGGTAAGACCGGAGGATAAATCAGAAGGGGAGTGCAGGAGATAAGTCAGTAGCCAATATTGAAGGGACATGAGTCTACCGTTTTAGAAATCACCCTGATGGCATGGATTGGGAGGAGGAGGCCGGATCCAATCAGGTTGCTATCATAATATTCAGGTAAAAGGCTGTCAGGATGAAAGGCTGTGAACAGTAGGACAAGGTCAGAGGAGGTGGATCTGAGAGACTCAAGGAATGCCATCAACCGGACATGGGGACCAACTTGGGGGTGGGAGCAAGCCGGAAGTTGAGTATGAAGAGGGTGAGGGCCAGTGTAAGCTTATGCATAAAGAGCTAAGAGTTCAGTTGGGGCCATATTGAGTTTGAGGAGGCCGGAGGACATTTGGGTAGAAATATCCAGCTGCAGCTGGAGCGAAGGAGAGTTTGGGGCTGAAGAGAAGGTAGGGAGTCATCGACATGTGAGGGAAGGTCAAATCATGGATATGGATACTGTCACTCTTGGAGAGGGTCTACAGTCCAGGGAACTAGGGGCTGGGTGGTCAGGAAGTTGTGGGATGACTGTTGGGTTAGAATTCTGTGGCTCTCTGAGTGTGTTAGAGGAGCTCAGGATACATCAAGCAAAGCGATGCTCACCTAGGGAAGTTAGGAAGTACCCAAACCAGGTTAAGGGGGAACCTAAGGAACTGAAGCTAAGGAGGCTCTTTTTTTTTTTTTTTCCTCCCTGAAACTGTGACTTTTGAAGGAATATGCTGTTTTAAGGTAACAGTTTGGTGGCAGTGTGTAGAACCGATGGGGAAGTGGGACCTGAGGCAGGTGGACTGGGTTAGGTAGCTGTGGTAGGATGCCTTCTGTAAAGTGCCAGGGGCCTGAATGCAGAAGGAATGGAATGAGGGGCTCCCCAGAAGTGTGAATTCTAGAAGGCTCCAGAGGCCACAGTATTATGCATCTTGGCAACAGGGACCTGGGGTGGTGGGCAGAGCCATGAGTATAGCAACCTTGTTGCTGGCTCCTGAAACATACTTGCCCTCTCAGCCAGTGTTCATGGAGGGGATAAATGGTATGACTGACAGAAAATGATGAGTTTTAAGAAGCACTGGATGTGGAAAGAAGATGAGTTCATGTTTGAACAAGGGCATTGCAAATGGAGGTGACAGTGATGAGTGAGGGCACAGGATGGGACACACCCAGAGTTGCAGATGGCTTCAGCCTATCAAATATTGAGGGTCTGAGTACTACAGGAGGAATAACAATGAGCAAATACCTTTTAAGGACTACAGAAAGTGGTAGCAGAAAGATATGCAAGTTACCATGAGGCAGAACATGCTAAATGTTAAGGGAAAAAATTGGTTACATAGTGTTCTAAAGATACAACGAGAGAGAAAGCCCATCTGGTTGAGGGAAGATGAGGAAAGTCTCCTTTGAGGAAGTGGCATTTTGATGGGCAAAGGGAGGGAGGAGTAGAAAAGGGCACTGGAGAGCATGACTCAGGCAAAGGGCTGTGGGCAAGTCTGGACAAGGCCAACTCACCTTGTTTTGGAGAATATGTGGGCTTTTTAGTTGACTCAGTATTAACTAGAAGAACTGAGTGGAGAAGATGAATAATGAGATCTGGTGGCAGGGTCCTTCCCCTTGTAAATGAATGCCCAGTCGCTTCCTTCCCTGGCAGCCTCCAGGATCAGGAGCTCCCTGTGGCCACTTGTTAAAATAAAGGCATTCCAGGCAGAGGAAGAGAAAGCATGGGTTTTGCCTGTGGCTACTTTCTTTACCACCTTCCCTCGGTCAGCCTTGCCTGCCTGGCTCCACAAACACAGAGAGAGAGATTATAAAAGCTCACACTGTTCCAGAGATAACTCGGAACAGGATTTATAGGACCTTTCCTTTAAAAAATAACCAAACAAACAGCTCTCTAAGGCCACACGGTCTTTAGGGAGAACAGAGATGTGTGGGAGAGGAGTGGGTGATGTCATTTCACCATGTTTATTTGCATACATTATAGAAGGCATTTCAAACATATTAAACAAGGCAGGAGATTCTGATGTATGTATCCCTTGGAAACCAATGTCCAAACACTTTACATCCAGACAGTTATGGGTGCCAATTTTAGGTTATGGAAATCTAAATTCAAAATCTTTTTTAAAAAATATTTTTAGTTGTTGATGGACACAAAACCTTCATTTTATTTATTTTTATGTGGTGCTGAGGATTGAATCCAGTGCCTCACACAGCCTAGGCAAGTGCTCTACCAACTAACCACAACCCCGGCCCTCTAAATTCTAAATCTTAAGTATCACCTAGAGGATTGAAAACAATAGGTGTGTATTTCTGGTCTTGTTTGAGAGAAAGGTAGCTGTTCTGTGGTTTTAAAAACTTGTCTTTGTTTTTTGTTTTGGTACCAGGCATTGAACCCAGGAGCACTTTACCACTGAGCTTCATCCCTTACTCATTATTATTATTATTGAGACAGAGTCTCACTATTGTTTAGGGCCCTGCTAAATTTCAGAGGCTGGCTTTGAACTTGCAGTCCTCCTACTTTAGCTTCCAGGGTTGCCAAGATTACAGGCATGTGTGACACCCTGCCAGGCTGAAGAATGTCTTTATTTTTAGACTTTGAGAAACCTTCACTGATGAATAAACCAGGAGGCCCCAAACACTCTGGTTATTAAAAGTTAATATAACATGCTGTGGTTGGAACATGGCTCTGAAGTAACATGCAAATACCAGTTCTCTGGTCACCTGAGCCTGGGGATTTGAGCTGAAAGCACGGCTGACTCAGTTTTGTCCATCTGTTTCAGAGCATTGAGTACTTCTCAATATACAGTTGAGAATTTCACCCATAAATAGATGACATACATTTAGTAAGGCGGACTTTTAATTACTGATTCGTTTATTTATTCAAACACGTTTACTAAACACTGGGTGTGACTGTAGTCTCTAAAACTTATTTAACATTCCTGGGTGCCAGGAACATACTAAGGGCTTGTATGGATTATCCTATTTAATCTTCCCAGCAACCCTGTAATATAGCTAATTTTTATTCTCCCCATTTTACAGATATGGAAATTGAGGCACAGAGGTTAGGTAGCTTGCCTGAGGTTTCCTAGCTGGTGAGTATGGTTCTGAGATTGGAACCCAGGCAGAGCTCATGCTGAGCTGTTAATTCTCAACAGTTAGGCCAGATGGTCCTGGCATACTTGCAAAATTGCCTTGACTAAAACAAATGAAGAGCTTATTCAAAACATGTATTTATCCTAGTAACCTCATAGGTCATTGAATATGTAGGAAATGCCAGAGTCAAATAATTTGGTATAAACTTGTTTACCTTTCAGCACTTCATGGTTTGAAGACCTTCAGATATTTGTCTCTATTCCACTGAACAGAGCAGACCTTTCAATTCAGGTTTAAGCCCAAATGCTCTTGATAATTAATGAAGCTGCTGAGGCCAATTCTAGGGAAAAATAACACGTTAGCATCCAGCATGATGCAGTCTGAAATGCTGGCGCCTTTGCTATGTTTCTCACACAAAGCACCGTATTGACACCACAGATCCACAGAGGGACTTCTAGTCACCAGAGGTGCAAAACCACCCTGGGCTGGGGAGTTTGCCTCTGCTGAGAATAAAAGCCCTGCAGATTCACCAGCCAGGGAAGGCTGTTTCTTGTCCTCTTTCTGGCTTGTGGGCCAGGACTCCTGCTGCCTGTGTGAAAGCAAATGCCAGCATGGCACTCTCTTTAGGAGTTTTGGGTCTGCATCCAACCTGACAAGAATTGCCCCCATACACCCCTCACCATTGCCAGGGTAATGAATTCTCACCAATCCCACTTCCAGAGTAAAATCTGGAACACCCAGCTGAGAGCTTGTTAAGAAGCTGCAGTAGGGTATTTTAACAGCAGAATCTATTAAAGGGCCGGTCAATAATGCAAGGTGTGAAGAAATAATTTTAAAATGTGTATGTGTGCCCTCGTGTGTTTGTGACCTAAGTAGAGTTTCCATTGTAAAAAAAACAATTCAATAAAAAAATCAAGCCCCTTCCTGGGGTCCTATTTTGCCTGTATACTAAATTTTCTTTAATTTAGGAGAGGAGCAAGTTGAAAAGACCTTTTGGACAAAAGTTGCTACAAACTTGAGTTTTCCACCAGAATGTCAATACCTCTTTTCCTCTATAAATTGCTAATAAAATTAGCATTGAAGAAAATTTAAACCGCCTTGCAGAAATAAACTTGCCTAGCTTTCTCAAGATGGCGAGGTTTGCTTCTTGGCCATGGGAGTGAACCTAACCACTGTGCTGCTCTGTTGATCACAGCTAGAGTCAGGTGAACCTCTACCAAGAACTGACTATTTGTTTTATTTCCCAGACACCAAATGGATTGCTTCTGACCCCGAGTCCACTGCTCTCCAGCATACATTTCTGGAGCAGCCTTAGTCCAGTCGCTCCACTGAGTCCTGCCAGGCTGCAAGGGCCAAACACGCTGTTCCAGGTGAGCATTTGGAACTGAACTTTTAAACAGAACTTCTAAGGGATATCCTTTCTCTCAGTCCTGCAGAGGCTTAAGATGGTGGTTTCTGCCTAACATTTGGTTAATATGTTCAGTTGTAAGGGTGTTCATAGGGACAGGGCTGCATACTCTTTAAGAGGCAGACATTTTTATTGAAGCAGAAATGGTGTATGTAGGTCAGCTGTCCATAAATGCAACAGTTAGTTCTTTAAGGGTTTTGCAAATTTTAATTTTGACTATGAAAACTGTAAAGTTTTTAGGAAAGTATAAAATTTAAAAAAAAAATTAATAAAAGACCTCAAAGTGATAATCCAGTTACTCAATGTACTGATTTACTTGAAATAAACTGAAAACTAAAAATAGCAGTTTCTCCTTACTGGGGTAGAAAAGTTACCTGAATACTTCTGAATCATAATCAAGCTCTTCTTATTCTGTTATTAAAAAAAAAAAAAAAAGTATCCAGGGCATTGGGTTAAAAAAACAATGAAGACTTAGTTGCTTTATCTTGTAGAACTCTCTGGATTCAGAAAACATATTTATTATTCACTTACATGCTAGAATCTTGCAGTAGTATCACTATCATGTGGATATTAGTGATTTTTTTTCTTTGATATTTACCCACTCAAGTTGTTATTGTTTGTATATGTGTGTATAGGTAGGACAGATCCTAGGAACAGGAATGAAGCAGGGATAAACACAGTGCAAACTCCCTCTACCTAATTCTAGCCTTGTCTCATCCACACAGCATCCTGTGTCCCCAGTGTGGTTCGTGGCAAACTAGTTTGCAGGTCTCTCATTCCCACTGCATTTAGCACTTAGCATTTTGCCTGTTAATCTGGCAAACTTCAGTAGACTGGTGCCATCAAGACTGAACTGTATCCTGTTCCCTATGGTGTCTCCCAGCATCTAGCATGTTGCTTGGTTTACAAATGATGTCAGTAATTATCAGTGACTGTCTAAATGAAAAGATGCTAAAAAACTCATAAAGAAATGTCAACAAAAGATAAGTGTTAAAATGATCAAGTCTCTATATCTTTTGAGTTGGTCATTTTGCTTGTCAAAATTAATATATGCCAAGTACCTTCTCTGTGTCAGAAGCATAATGTACAAGATGAGATTTAGGGTCTCACTGGAAGAATGGTGAGCTAAAGAGAGCTACCACGCCCACTCAGCCCTTTTTATTTTGAGACAGGGTCTTATTAAGTTGCTGAGGCTGGCCTCGAACTTGTGATCCTCTTGCCTCAGCCCTGAGTTACTGGGATTACAACCAAGTCCCACTGCATCTGGCTTAGTTAATGCATTTAAAGGCTACTTGCCTATGAGTTTCGATTTTAATTTCACCAAATAGACCAGTTTTTTTCTCTTGGTGCCATTCAAAAGGCAGCCCTGAAAAAACACATTCCAGTTTGAATGGGATGGGTTATATGGCCTTGGGCCCTCTGTTTTTGGTTGGATCCATGAAACTAAGGGAAAACAATTTTGTACTTTAAAAAATATTATTCTTCAAATGAAAAGAGTAGTCGAATGTAGCAATTTTTAAAATGGTAAACAAAACATGGTAAGAGGAAGATTTTCTGAAACTAGATATTACAAATGATAAATTTTCAGCATTCAGATTATGATTAAGTCTCTTTTAAACTAATGAAAATCATCTCTTTTCAAAATAACCAACCTCTTCTCTTTCATGTACGCTATTAACGTATTGGCAAAGGAAAAAAAAAAACAGACTTAGCCTACAACAAACTCAAGTGATGCTAGCAGGTTTCCTGTTGTGATTTTTGCAAAGGTAGGCTGGAATCCTGATAGCTGGCAGAGCTGAGGAGTTTCTGCACACGATCATTCTGTACACTCACTGTTCATTCATGTACAATCATTATAGCAGATATTAAATAATTTCAAAGGAGAAGAAAAGACACTAGCCATTCTGGAAGAGGTATGCTTCTAACTTAGAAATACTTCAGTAAAGAGACAAGATGCCAAAGACACTGTGCTAAGTGTTGAATGTCAAGGATGCAGATTTACAAATAAAGTGAAATGTCTTTCAGTTGGATAGTTTGGCATTTTGAACTTACTTTTCTGTTCTACTCCAACTTTTCAAACAGATTTTTATCAAATTTGAAATGTACCCAGTAGGTATGGATACATGTTGAAACCAGGTGGAGCCAGTTAAAATTTTCATTTGAGACTGTGTGCTGAAATTTTTGTTCAATAAATCTAACCCAGTAAATATTTGCAACGTTCTGCAGCAGGGGCTGAAAGAGCTATACAATGTACGAATAACAGGAAAGTAAACAAAGTGCTTCAGGGACTGAGGGACTGAGTTGTTCTTTGCATCCAGGGACTGGACAGACTCTGAGGAAGAAGTGCTGCCTGAGCTGAGCTGGGAGAAGGGACAGGATTTTGATAAAGAGCAAAGCATAGTTTAGAACTTAATAGATCTCCTGGGTTTGGATATGGAAAGTATTCTCAGGAGGAGACCCGATGATAGATGAGGTGTGAAAAGGAGGTGTGGGCTTCAATAGTTCCACCTTTTTAATCCGTTGTTACACTGTTAGGTATGATATCCATGTGAAGGAAGAATTCAAGAGAAAGTGGAAAGACCAGGAAGATAGGAGAAAATTATTCTCTACTTCAAATACTAGAAAATTATTCTCTACTTCAAATACTAAAGAGACAGTCATCTTTTAGAACAGAAGGGTGGACGTAGGAATCAATTTGGAAGACATTTCAGAGGCAAGATTGAGAAGACCTTGAGTTTGGTTTTAGGAGTAAGTAGGTAGTAAATATGAGGAAGAGGCAAAATGATTAAGTGATAACAAGATTGAAAATCTTTAGTAATAACAGCTAACATGTATTGAGGGCTTACTGTGTGTCAGATATTCTGGGCCACTCTTCATGGCTTCTCATTTAATGCCATCAGTAGTTCTATTTTAAAGATGAGAAAACTAAGGCAGAGACATTGCTCAGTTTATCCAAGATCACACACTGACAAGTAGCAGAACCCTGGTCCAAATTTAGTTTGTATCCCTAACCACTACTTTCACTAACTTAGAGCACCAGAGAAGAACAGCTTTCCTGGAAAAGCAGCATTGGCTGGGGACATCTAAAATGGAAATGGTCATCAAATCCAAGTATGGCAGACAGAAGTTTGGTATATGCTGCAACTTAAAAAGGACAGTGATCCCTCCCCACCCCCACAACATATATCCTGTTCTCAGTCAGGACCTGGTCTGCCTTTCTATCAAGCACATTTTCCTTTTGGTTCCTTAAAGCTGCCCCAGGTTATCTCAGGCCAGCCATGCTAAACATCCTTCTGACTCTATAGCGTTGACCTGTTCATTCCTATTCTGTAGATTAAATGCTAAAGGACAGGGAATGGAAGGAAATAAAATTCCAGGGACAAATTGGGTCCAGATCTAGAGCACTGGGCTCGAGTTTTGTTGGTGGCTTCTGCCAGACATGTGTCCCTGACATTAGCTACTTTCTGGACCACCAGTAGGATCTCTGCAGTATTCACTGTAACTTGTACTTCTGTAGTAGGAAAGAGCCAATAAAAATGACTAAGAAACACACGGATATAAAACCAGGCTAACTGAGAACTGTGACAACTGAGTGTACAGAAATAAGAGGGGGAGAAATCAGAGCTCTTTTTTAAAATAACAGAGAAGACTAATAAAACTACAGGGGATTCTTTTGAAAATATCAACAGGATGGAAAAAAAACCCCAAAACATAAGATTAAAAAAACACTAACAATAAAAATTTAAGACCTGCTCTCCTTCTGGTGTTCACTCCAAGTCAATGACAACAGTGGTTTGGTTAGGAGCGTAAATATGAGTATAAATATATGTATAGCATTTGAAAACACAATTGAAGTGGAAAACATTTTAGAAAAAATTAAAATTCCAAAGTACCAGGAAAGAAACAGAACCGTGAATATACCAATAACCATCAAAGAAACTGAAACAGTAATTAGACATACCCTAACCCCTGCCAAAATAAGAAGTTGGGCAATTTAGTACAGAAAAATTCCAGTCAGGGCTTAAAATTAGGTGGTGCTGCTTATTAGTTGTGACCTTTAGGTAATCAGAACTTTAACTGTTTTCTCATTTGTAAAATGGAGATAACAAAACTTACTTCATAGCCCCTAGGTATCAAATGAAATGACAGCCCTTGATAAGCAAGAAGGCACAGACGTAAATAAGTTACCAAAATAGTATGAACATTGCAAAAATATATTTACTTGTTCTACAAATATTTGTTGTTCTTCCAACAGGTGCCAGGCTCTGTAGTTTGACATTCAGTTTTGAAGTTTAATATTTAAACTTACTCTGGACTAAATAGGAATTAAGCTTCAAGGAAGTATAGGAAATCATTTTGACACATATCATCCTAGGCAATAAAATATCTAGGTGCAGACAGACAAGTATTGGAGGCCTTCTCGTCTGCTTGTTCATTTGGAAGCATAGATGATGCATTTGCTTCAGACCTGACACTTGTCACAACATATACCTTTACCCTGCTATTTATCATCTTAGTTGCTTAGCAGTACAGAAATTAAGTTTGATATTATTTATCAAAGAAAACACTTTTCCAACTCTATACTTCTTCTAAATCTTTCAAGGTAAATATTTTTAAGTTACTGAGAAACATTTTCGTAGTACTCTGAAAAGCAGATGACAAATTCCAAAATGTATTATTAGAAATTACTGATTTTTTACAAAGAGTCTGTTTTATGTACTTTTTTCTAGTAGCCTATCGTTTTCTGGGCCTTATTCTTCTTTGTTCTAGGTAATCTTGCAATTGTCATCTTTAAATTATTCTATAAAATAGATTGGCAACTGCTCCATTACAAGGGTGATGAGAGAAATGAACTACTGTGGTCTGTTTGGGAATGTAAGGAACCCAAGTTTTTCCTGGTGATATGTAATAATTATTCAATTTTTTTGTGCCCTGCAGTTCCCCACACTGCTTAACAGCCACATGCCAGTGCCAATCCCCAGTCTGGACAGAGCTGCTTCTCCAGTACTGCTTTCTTCAAGCTCTCAGAAATCCTGATGATGTCTGGCTACAATTAAGAACTCATTAACTGATCAAATTTGTCCCCATGGGCTGGTTTACCTGTGTCATGAGAAGGACTTCGTGAAACCCTCTGTTAATTTGGTTTGCACTTTTCATATCATGGATAGTCTACATTTATGTTAGCATTTTAAAAAACTTTTTTATATATTCAAGTATATATGGAAATCTGTTTTGCATTAAGTGAATTTTAATGTTTTTGTTTTTATATCCTCTTAGCTCTTAAGTGTTGAGCACTGTTGACAGTGAAGAACTTAATGTTTTCAATATAATAAGGATGTGAACCTTTTTTCTCCTTAATTCTGCATATGCTGAACTGTGCTTATATACACACTATAACCAGCTGTGCCTTCCTTTGCATTTAGTTTTATGTAAATGATTTATATATTTTTTAGTATTAAGAGAAAATGTTTGAAAGACAAAAATTAGTATCAAACAGCTCTTTAGTAGAATTTCATTATTTTTCATAAGTAGGCAAAAATATGAAAGCATATTCATATCACTTTTTCCTTTTTGCTTTCAGTTGTATGAGAATTGCCTTAGAATCTTTGAATTGAAATTCAGTAAATGTAATGTCCAAGTAACATTTTTATAAAAATAAACTAAGCCATATTTAGACAATAAACATTCATAAAAGAAAATGTTCTAAAGTGCATTTTTTAAACTTTGAAGCCTCTTAGATGTCCATAATGTCTTTTCTCCTCCCTAACAAAAATCTGAAATGGAAAAAGTTACCAGTCCATATCATCTAAACTACTATAGTATTTCTTAGGTTAGCGTGTTCTTATTTCAAAAGATTAGTCCTGGTTCTTCCAAGAGAAAAATCACATCCACACGATATATTTACTCTATCAATAGGAGTTAGGGTTTCTCTAAATACCTGGAACCTAATTAACATTTTGAAAGCAGCTCACTGGTGCCAACTTAAACAACAATGAAACAATTCTGTAAAATAAGGACAGATATTCACAATTTTTGATGGATCAAAAAATGTACTATAACACAAATACAGTACTATAGGTATTGAAGGCATTGCTTGTGGAAACTGAGACATAGGATCAACTGCTTTGTATTTTACTTTTTATGGTGAGAATGGAAGAAAACTTGACAAAATTCTTCAGGAATCTCATCACTGTGGAACTAACTGTGTAGTATAGTTTAGAACAGTGATAAAAGAAACATTTTCTGTTCTATCAAAAAGAAAAAAATCAGTAGGCGCCATTCCAGAGGCACCACACCTATGCACAAAGCAGGAATGTTCCAAAGTAGATAAGAGAATTAGAAAGTGCCATTTAAAATTAGGTTAACCGTAATCCTTAACTAAAAAGTAACAGAAACCAACTTAAAATGTGACTAAATAGCTGATCCAAACCAGGCATTAAATGGCAGGGATTGTGAAGATTAAACAATGAACTTTATGAAAACACATTCTTGAATTTTTAAAAACTGAAATTATGTTAGAAATTCAGATTTTCAATTGGAATGGAGCTTCTCTATATTATGTGGAGACATATGCTTTTATGGGAAAAACTAAATCACTCCAATGAGCCTCTAACTATAAAGTAATGGTACTGGCTCCAAACTACAAATAAACACTACTGTTACTCCCTCATAGGCTAATTCTTTACTAAAATAAGAGGAGCTGGTTCAGGGAACTGATAATTACTGAAAGAAAAATGTGTGAGCTAGAAGAGCTAAAAGGGTCTTTGAGAATGCTTTCCTCCACGTGTTTCTAGATCAGGACAGGTATGCAGGAGAAGCTGAGAGTTGCCTGGGGCCACCAAACTCATTCAAAGTAGAACAGTGAATTGGTGTTCTAATTTCATTTCCCCAAGGCCTATCTTTAAGTAACTGGTCCAAATCTATGTTAAGTAAAGAAACAGCATTAAAAAATTGTAGAATAAAATAATATATATAAAATGTAAGATTCTTATAGAGAAACTAAAAGAAGTCATTGTGCAATAATTTCAACGAAAAAAATTTAACATACTTTTGAAATTAAATGCTGATTGGAAATATTAAAATGGCCAGAAATCTGATTCCTGGTATTTTTCCTGCTCCAAATACTGTGTTTAACTATACTTTAGATCCATTTACTAGAAATGGAAAGATAATTTTTGATGGATCAGAATCCTCTAATGCAGGGAGAACTATAGATATGAAAGAATAACTCTCAGAGTGCTGCCTCATGCTGTGTGTGTTTGTAAAATAAATACTTTATCAGAAAACAGTTTCCAAAGAACAGCAAATCCCATCCCACCTACCTACCCCCGCATCTTTTTAATGTTTACTTGATCAGTGTTAAACTGCTATGGCTAAAGTTTGTTAGAACTATTACAACCTGAACATTAGTCTCTTTGTACACATCTTTTCTATGATTGCAAATATTCATTCACTTTCATATATGTATCATTTTTACTGTAATATTATTTTTGTTGAATAAATACTTTGTGATAAAAGGTATTCAGAGGTAGTGGGTTGGTTTTCTTTCATTTACTTGCAACAATCCAAACTTCAATTTTTCCATATGGAAGCAAGTTGGTAAATCTATCTTGTTACCTACCCTTAAATATGGCACATCAAAAAATACTTTAAGGGGCTGGGGATGTGGCTAAAGCGGTAACGCGCTCGCCTGGCATGCGTGCGGCCCGGGTTCGATCCTCAGCACCACATACAAATGAAGATGTTGTGTCCGCCGAAAACCAAAAAATAAATATTAAAATTTTCTCTCTCTCTCTCTCCTCACTCTCTCTTAAAAAAAAAAAAAAAGATTTAAAAAAAATACTTTAAACACAGTTACATAAAGAAGTATATATAATTATTGAGGTTGAATTTGGGAGAGTGGAATGGGTTTGAAAAATGGTCCCTTGATCTTTTAAATCTTAAATTCCACTAATTGCTCTGTATTGAGAAGGAAAAAGTGATGAAGGAGGGAGAAAATCTAACCATTGTTCTTCTTTTAGACTACTTTTTTGATAAAGGAGAATGTGAACTGCTAGGTTTGATAAAAGAGGTTATTATTCTACCCAGTCTCACTTCCAGGCTGACCTACCTATGGTTTTCATGGGTGAGTTAAAAAATGTCTCCATCTGTGTCTGATATGGGAAGACTGGTGTGCATGCAGGGAAGGAGAGGCAGGGGAAAATAATAGATTAAGGGAGACCCAGACTGACACGTTTAGTATATCTATTGTGCCAAAAAGGGTCACAAAACTCCTAGCTATACATTTTATAACATATTCTTTAGGTAGAGTAGGAAATCATTCACTTGACAAAGAAATAAACATTTGAAAATAGTTACAGGTACCTTTTCTCAAAAAGGGAACAGATTTGTTTAGCCCTGTTATATATATATAAAATAGTTCAACTCAGATTTACAAAATGCCCTTTTATGTTTAAATATCCACAGGCACCTCTCCCCCACATGCACACTCCCTTCCCTAAGGTTAACTGGGACTTTATGGCCCTGCCCACAGGGTTCACACTGAAGAACACACACCATGGTCATCTGGGACCCTCTCCCAGATGAGTCAGGTCCCTAAGACTTACCCTAAGACTTACTTTTATTTCACTAGATGACATAATTTCAGTTAATGTCAGCAACTATTTATAAGCTACTTATGATGTACAAGCATTGTTCTAAGCTTTTTACAGGGCTTACTTAATTCGTCCTCCCAACAACCCTAGGAGGGAACTACTATCATATATCACTCTGCAGATGAAGAAAGGGAGGCCCAAAGTGGTTTCCTAACTGCTTCAGGGACACTGAGTTGGCTGGATTTCAAAACTTGCATTTTGATTACAGACACCATGATCTTAACCCATCCGTACTTCAAAAGAATTTAAACTTACAATCTACATCTTTGCACAGAACCTTACCTGACATATATAAATCTTAAACATATTTGCTATATATTGTTTTCTGTGAGAGCAGATTATTGGTCATTATAAAGCTGGCCCTACCTAGACTTCTCCCATACTGACTTTATTTCCAGTCCTGTGTTCCCAGCGGTGAGTGTGTGCTGAGGAATATGTTGATTATGAGTTAGTTCTTAAGTTTCTAAAGTCACATATTTCAGCCTGTTAGGAAGAAGTTTATCTTCTAATTCTAACCAATTTTTGACTGCTGTATTTGTTTTTGGTTATATCAGATAGAGGAGGTAAGACCAAGTTAATTTTAACTGACAAATTTTACTTACAACCCAGATTTCTTCATGTAGGTGTATCTTCATTCAATCAACAAATGCTACTGTTTTCCTAACATGTATCAGGTACTAGGGACAGAGGTGAGTGAGACATAATATTTTCCTTCATGGGACTTACTACTTAAGTGAGGGAAATAAAATATGATTAGTGTCACACAGGATTAAGTATGAGAAGGCTAATGGAAATAAAAGTAGTAAAACAGCAGGGTATAAAATAACCCAGTCTATGACAGAATAAGGAATGGGTCTGGGAAGGCCTTCCGGAAGAAATAATCAGATTGAGACCTGAAGAATGAGAGAGTGGCCAAGAGAAGGACAGAAGAAAAGAACAAGCAGAGAAAAGAGAAAGGTTAAAGAACAGGTGAGAGAAGAAACATTTTAGGAACACAAAAAACTGTTGGATTTACCTTTACAGAGAACAGCCTATAAATCATCATCACATGAGATAATAATGTAGAATTAGTAGCAACACAGTATAAATTCAAAGGAAGCAGGGAGCTTCCAGATAATGGTAGAGTAATGAAGGAGTGATTGGCTAGGAGTCTGTAGAAGAGCAAGATGGCTGGAGCAGGCCCAAAGCAATCTCTTGCTGATTTTCAGTGTTTCTAGAAAAACTACGTACAAACATCATCCAGAGATGATAGATGTAGACATAAAATCAACCCTTGACATATCAGCCAATTATTATTTCACAACTTTTGCTGCATACATATACAAGGAAGGAAACAAGATGAAAGCTATATGAATGGAACTAATGTCAATACAGCTGGGGGAAATGACTGAAGCTTTTGTGGCTCTTTTAATCAGCACTGTTCCAGGAAAGACTCAAGAGTACTGCACAAGTCCCAAGTCTGGAGTCACTCGAATTCTATATTCCAACCAGAGTCCAATGGAGCCATCCTTTTCTAAACATCCAAGACTGTTGGCAGATGCCAAGCTTTCCTTAGTTCATTTTTATGATATGTCCATGCATCTCTACTGCAGTAGGGCTAAGGTGGAAGAAGCAATGGGAGCAGCCATCTTTATTCCTATCTCAGTCCCTCCTATTTATCTCTCTGCCTCCCTCTCACAAATGTACATCTGTACATCTAGCCCCTACATATAATCTCTGAAGTAGTAACATGCTGGAAATGTATTTTTTCCAGTAAGTTAATTTTCCCATTTCTCTTAGAAGCCACTAATGAAAAGTCTTCCCCAACATCAAAGATCAAAAATTCAAGCAGCTTTATATAACTTGGTCACAGTCTTTCTGTATTAGTCTGATAGAAAAATGGTGAGTTCAGTGGTTTCTAGATCAGTGATGGAAATTTTTGATTTCAGCTAGGAATGATGCTGAAGGAAATTCCTATCTAACTAAACCCAGAATCTAAGCTCACTATTAGAAAGTAAGTTCCAGATGTAAACTGAATAGAAAAGAGGGGAAAACACTGTAATGTTCCTTAAGTCTAAAGTAATGCACTAAAACCTTTGGAGATTGCAAGTTTGCTATATATATTTGCTAATATATATTGCAATAACACAATTTTCTCAGCCTGCTAATGAGCTTCTATTGCCTCTTACCATTTTGATATGGATGACCTTGTCAATGAAAAAGAAAATCCATTTAAGAATCTAGATTAGAATATTTAAAAAACAGAACCAGTGACATTAGAAATAATAAAAGGATAAATCTTTTAAAACCACGGAAACTGAAAATAACTAAAAAATACAGAAAAGAATCAGAGAACCAAAATGGTACACTACAAACAAAACAAAACAAAACAAAACAAAAAAAACTAACTGCAAAACAAGGTAGTATCAGAGGATTCAAAGCACCAAAGCCATCTGAGACAAAATAAATAGCTAATTGGCAGAACTAAGTCCTTCCTTATCAGTAATTATTTAAATGTAAATTTCACAGTCTCCGATTAAAATGCAAAGATTGTAAGGATGATTAAAAAATAGTGCATCAATACACTATGCACAAGAGACTCACTTTAGATACAAACACACACAAAGAGGTCGAAAGTAAAAGAACAGAAAAAGATATTCCAACCAAATAGTAACCAAAAGTGGAATAGGGTGGCCATATTTTTGTCAGAAAAAAAATGGACTAAGAAAAATTACAGAAGATGAAGGACCTTATGTATTGATAAAGGTTCGATGTATTAAGAAGATAGAGAACTATGAACATATGTGCACCCAATATCATAAGCCCAAAATATATGAAGTAAACACTGACAGACATGAAAGGAGAAATAGTTATATAATAGTTGGATATTTCAATAGTCCACTTTCAATAATGGGTAGAATAGCCATGTAGAAGATCAATAAATAAACAGACAAACTGAACACTATTAATCAAAAGAGACATGTACAAAACATTCTACCCGTATGGCAATATGTAAAACAGTGGATGTGTAACCGATGTGATTCTGCAATCTGTATACGGGGTAAAAATGGGAGTTCATAACCCACTTGAATCAAAGTGTGAAATATGATATGTCAAGAACTATGTAATGTTTTGAACAACCAAAAATAAAAATTAAAAAAAAAACATTCTACCCAACAACACTCTTCTCAGAATGAGACACTCTTTTTAAGTTCACACAAAATATTCTCCAGAACATATACCATGTTAGGTCACAAAATGAATATATATTTTTGAAAAATTGAAATCATGCAAATGTCTTTCCTGTCACAATGGAATAAAACTAGAAATCAATAAAGAAGAAAAAGGAAAACTCACAAATACATGGAAATTAAGCAACATACTCTTAACCAGGAGTTATAGAAGAAATCATAGCAGATATGAGAAAATTCTTTTGGTCAAATAAAAAAAAAACCCACAATGTATTTATACCTATGGAATAGTCTGAAAACAGTGGTGGGAGGAAAATTATAGCTTCAAATATCTACACTCAAAGAGAAAAACATCAAATCAACCACCTAACTGTACATTTCAAAGAAAAAGAAAACACTAAACCCAAAGCTAGCAGAAGGAAGAAAATAATAAAGAGTACTAATAAAGGCAGTTTAAGTCAGGAAACCCACTGACTTTGAGCTGGAGGATGGAGAAGACTTGTTCACCAGCACTGTCTCCCTGCTAGAGTCAAGCCCATCATCTCCAAAACCAGCTAGTCTTCCTGCAGAAGATATTAGGGTAAACTCCAACAGCCCAAAACCTGAAGAAGTTATACTAGATGATGACAGAGAAGATCTTTTTTTTTTTTTTTAAATACAATTAAAAACATATATATATATATTTTAATTGTAGATG